TGTTTCGGCATGCATAATTTCGAATATTTCTATAGAAACAATTTGTTATTCGCATATTATGTTTAATTTGAAATTATAATGCAAAAATAAATCAACTAAATACTTCAAATGATAAAACTTGACAAATTCTTATTACAAATATACATAAATTTCATATTTCATGTTAGTTACAGAATGTTTATTTTCGTTATTTTCTAATAAAGTATCTGGAATTATTTCTCAAAAATAAAGCACAAGCTAGATGTTTGACTTTAAGTGAATTATCTACTTAAGCCGTATTTCGATATACACTGCTAGTATTGAAACTCTATAATTTACGTGTTACGTATATACTATAGATTTTCAGTACTGGCAGTTTATATCAGAGCGTGGCCTTAATTACATTATAAATATAACAAAACTAAACAACTTCCTAAGTAATAAGCAACGTAATATACCGTATAAAATTAATTTACGAAAACTTGCTTATAATAAACTATCGTAGAAAGCGTAACGCCCGTCATGTTATCACAAAGTCTTGTGAAAATGTCGACTCCGAAGAGTAACATTAAAGTTTCCACTGCTTATCCGACGCATTACCAAAACGCGACTGAAACTGAAAAGTTGAAGACATTACGGGCGTGAACTTCTCGTTTTTAATGCGACGCTACATTTTTCTCAGCGGCAATAGTAGCAGCAGGCTGCGCACTTCCTCGAAATTGTGAGCACCTTTTACGCGTCGTGTGGCACTGCAGAGAAAGTGGCAATAAATGTCAGTGCGGCACATTTTATTATGGTGCCTCCACTATGGTACTTTTCTGGGCATCGTTGCCTACAGGCTGACCCGCGAATATATATTCGATTTTATCACCGCTGATTCCGGCATATACTTCCATTGGGACCTCACGTCCTGTCTCATCGCGAAACATATTTGCCTTATATCTGTTTTACTGCTCATGCGACTCTTCGTCTTTACGCTCACTTTCCATTGACAAATATTTCTACTTGAAACAAAAAGGAACGCGCGCACATACAACTTTAGTAAGTTTAATATTTTTAAGCTGCAGCTTAAGTATAACAATTGTAGATATATGCATATCTTAAGAATCTTGAGTAATCACCACAAAAAATTAAAATTACAAGATAATAACGTCGGAATATATAACATTAAATAATAATGTCTGAATATATATTATAATTATAAATATTATTTTTACAAATATGAAATTGTCATCCGGGCTGATTTGATTATGCAAGTTTTGACATCACTTATGGAGGGAAAAAGTTACCAGTATTTATGACTATTATGATTATATATTCAGACGTTATTATTTAATGTTATATATTCCGATGTTATTATCTTGTAATTTTAAATACTCCGACGTTATTATTTTGTAATTTTTAATTTGTTTTCTAACATTTTGAAAATAACTCGATCAGAGTTGAAACGTTTGTTTGTAATCTAATATTATTAAATAAGCTTTTGTATTTATATTTGGCTCGTTGCCCAACTTTGTATGTTTTGACTTAATACATTATATATAACATCTAGTATATTATATTCTACAAAAGATAGACAGGGTCCTGAATGACGTAATGATTGCCTTTTTTTATGATATACGGACGATCCCTTTTTCACAAATCATGTAAAAATATTACAAACGTACACAAACATATATGTATTATTGCATGCATCCCTCGAAATCGGAAACATGATACAAAGGACATGACGTGACAGCGTACAATACCGAGTTTTATTCAGTGTGGGTATTGGAATTCGATATTTTCGTGCGTCGCATACATGTCAGCACATCGACAAAAATGTGGCGTAATCGACACCGTAAACAATGCAAAAATCTACCGAATATATCGTTATAAAAATTTATATCTATCATTCAGCATTTTCATATTTTGTTTCTCTTTTCCGCATGTTTTTCCTGAAAGCGTGCTGTTAAAAAAAAACATCATTATAAATCAATAGATCATTATTAAATGGCATGTTGAACACATCAACTAAAAGCAAAGTAATTTACATGGAATGATAATTAAGGTAACTGTCCCAATTACTGTGCCTGTCTCTATTAGTGTGCTTTTGTATTTCGATACATAAGTCATAAAGAAAATTAGCACAAAATAAATAAGAAAAACTATTTTTTTTGTTAAGTTAAATTATTAATACATACGATACCGAAGATAATATTTTATTTTTTGAGTATTAAGGTATTTTAAATATTTTTCGAAAGATATGAGGAATTTATGTGAATCTAGTAATACGTACCGCAAGATTTTAAGCGAGGGAGTAACCACTAGCTGAAATATTGTCCCACACATTACATGATTTCATCTGATTACAAATAATTTTTTTCACTATTATGAAGTAATTTGGTAAAATATACGATTTTATGTTATACAATGATTTCTCGTGGTTGCATATGTAATTATCGGATTATATATAGAGATTTTATATAAATATATATTTTATAATGATTTCGAGGATTCTGTCCCATGATTACATTAAATGGTTACTCCCTCGATTTTAAGCTTGTCCCTATTAATGTGCCCTGTATTGGAGGTGAGAACGTTGTGTTATGAGTGTACTTTGAAATAAATATAATTGAAATGATTTATGTAATATTAACATAAACAATTAGCTTAAATTTATTACCTGTTTTAGTAATTATATATTAAAATGAGTCAAATGTGGATAGGCACACAAATTGGGGGCATATTAATAGGGCCATCGCCGCTTAGAGGATTCACTAATAGGGACAAAAACATGTTTTCTATTTTTGTCAAAAGCATTATAAAGTATTAACATTTTTTAGATTAAAGAAATATTATAAGAAAAAGAAGTAGTTGAAAAACCGATATTGATTGCAAGCAGATAAAATTAAAGCTACAATATTTAATAATTAATTCAGTAATAAGTAAATTGGCTAAAAGACACATTAGGGACAGTTACCCTATTAATTTTTTAATTAAAGTGGCAAAAAACAAAATTTGTTACGAGCCCGATTTAAATGTGCGTGGTATTTTTTCCTAAATTCCATTGAAATTTCTTCGTTCACAAAACAGATTGTCAAATTCCATTATTTATGTTGATAAAATTATATGCATGTCATTTAAACGTCTCAAATTTTTAAACAAATTTAATCTCTAATATTTTGCCTCAACAATAAAAACGAGGAAAAACATTTGTTTCTTTATTGGACACTATGCTAAATGGAGCGCGGCATCTGTAAAGCGATGTCAGCAAACTTTTAATCGGTAATTTGAAGTAACGCTTCGCTGGAATCGGCCACATTCATTTGGCCATAAATAAAATACATCGGTACAACTGTTTAAAGCAATTATTACTAGATACCAATTTAAGCAATTTTATACTATTAGAGGTTCAATATCTCTCGTTGTACTTGTGTTAAATGTTTGATTTATGTTGAAATTAGAGTTATATGGATTTTCTGTGCTAAACATAAAGTTTGTGTTTTTGAAACACCCAGGAAGAAAAACAATCGATATTTAATATTCCCTGCAAACAGTATATAGAATTTATATGACATCAATCAGTTTGATTATAATCCAAGAAGAGTTGCAATACACACGGTTTATATAAACAAAAAATCTAGGATTGACAATTTTATTATAAAGAAAAATAGATTTACACTCGGCTTTTGAAATCGCTATTCCATTACATAATCTAGTTGATATATTTAGCTCCATTTTATCGTGAGTACAGTCACCATAAATACGATAAAATTGGTGTGTATTTATTGTACGTCAAGTTGCTAATGATAATCGATATATTCCATCAAACTGTTTTCCAATACATGGAGTTTTCGTGACTTTCCAATAATGTTATTTTACTTTTCTTACTTTTAGTTTTCCTTGATCAATTGTTATTGTTATAGTAGCATATTATTTTCCTTATTTCTTTTTATTTTTGAATTTTAAAAATAAAATTGATAAATTTAAAAAAATTGCTTTAAAGAAATTTTAAAAAGTTATTTTAGAGAAAAAATTTGTCAAAGGATTATTACTTTAAATATTTAATAATTTTCCTGTTTAAGAAGCCACTGAAATCCATTTACCCTTAATATGATTGTCTTCCGTATTCTTACTACCCTTTGTACTTTATTCATCTTAATGACATTACGCCTTTGGTGTATCAGTATTAATCATGACTTAGACTTTTATACACAAAAGAATTTAATGTTACTCTTAGAGTGAATCTTGTTAGTTGTATATGTCAGATGCATGAAAGGGCTTCATTTTGAGGGGCGATTTTCTCAAAAGGCGGCCAACAATGGCTGTCAGTTCTTACCTCAACGACATCTGACCCGAATGGCACAGCTGTGGTGAATTTAATTGCACTTGCTTATACTGGGATAAAGAATGAACCAAGATCGCTTAAAAGAATGGAAAAATTCTTAAAGTAAAAAATCATGACACTTAAATGAAAAACTTTCGAAAGATGTGCCATTAAGGTGAACTTTTCTAAGAACGCAACTGCAATTTGTTAAATATATGCATTATTTTATTTTTTATATAACAGTTTACTGCTTAAAAAAATTTTGCCTTATTATGTAAATAATATAATAAAATTTTTTTAGTAGAGAAACAGCGAAATGTTGCTTTACCGTTTGAAGTACCAAGCAGTCATTACTGATCATTTTAATTTTTTAGATTAATATTATGTTTGATAAATTATAAATTAATAAAAACTAATAAGTTTTTATAGATTCCTTTAATTAAAACAATTAATGAAACCATAAAAAATATATTACAGACAATAGGAGTCGACGCTGGTTATCAATTAGCGCAATTTTTCTTAATACTAAAAATATAAACCTTAACTTTGAACGTTTCCACTCATGGTTTGAGTAAAAAAAAATCTTTAAAAAAATTCTAGAATCTTTGATTTTTAATATTTCCTTCCCAAGTTGTACACGCGAATATAAAATACATCGATTCCATATCTGATACAGATATTGTCGTTTACGAGCTCCCGTTTTGTGTTCCAGAGTAGATATTCAATCGGCACATAGGAATGGGAGCTTTTATCAGTGCTGTAGTGGATTTTGCATCGATCTGCTGCAGAAGTTTTCCGAGGAAATTGGTTTTACTTTCGAGCTCGTAAGGGTGGAGGATGGCAAGTGGGGTACTTTGGAGGTGAGCCTGAGCAAAATTCATGAAAGGTGCTGCTTACTTACGTCGTACGGAAGATAAATGTGTCTTGTAATGCAACGAGAAAATTCCCGCGGAGCATTTACCGCAGCCGCAACGGTGCGCTTATTTCTTCCTTTTGAACGTTTAAAATTTTCTGTCCTTTCATGTCTGCAGCAGACACCTACATCGCGAACGAAATGTAATGCGGCTTTAAGGGCATGACTGATCGCTTTTAGTTTTACACCTCTGATAAATTTCTCGAACATAAAAGGAGAGAAAAAAAATGTGTTTTATTGTTGCAACTCTCGATATAAGAATGTGTAATTTGAAAATCGAATTATCTGACGATAGTAATTTTCTGCACGTGTGTTGACCTTATTGATGATTATTACGAAATGAACGCATGAATGAGCTTTCGACGCATTTAATTTCCGCACAAAAGTTACTTCCGACGATGCAACATATATATTTACGCTTCAGCGACTGCTTAAATGACCCAAAACAAATAATTTTTTGTTTATCGAGCGTTTTAATTACGTTATTGAATCATCATCGTTTTATGTTTTTCTCTCACGAGACGTATATTAAATTACGATTACTGCGTTAAAATAACAAGAAGAAATATTCGTTTCAATCTTGCATAACATATGAAATTATTTTTAGTGTTTTATTACTCCGTCATATATTTTCACATTTATAAATCAACGAATATTAAATAAAATGAACTCTGTTTTTCGATAAAAACAATTCCGCGAAAAATAATTGACTTTTTGGCTATCTAATAAATATCACGATATATTAACTATTGTATACAGAATGGGAAGTGGAATGGGCTTATAGCTGATCTCGTCAACCGAAAGACCGATATGGTCATGACTTCGTTGATGATCAATTCGGAAAGAGAAGCGGTAGTCGATTTCACTGTACCTTATATGGAAACTGGTATTGCCATTGTTGTAGCAAAAAGAACAGGCATAATATCTCCCACTGCGTTTTTAGGTGAGAATTGTATTGTAGAAACCGTTTTGCAAACGATATTTATAAACATATTTACAACTTGATAATATACGTATGTCTAAAAAATATATGTTATCTTTATCATAAATAAACATTGTTACATAAATTAAGTAAAATATTTGCGGAAGCATGCTACTGTTATTTCGAAATATTAATATTACTGTATAAATTAAGGGAATATTTACAAAAGCAGTAATTTTGCACGAATCATCACCGCATGAAAATATACGATGAATGACGGTATAACCCAAAATAGAATTTGTTTTAACATCTAATAATGCATTTTTAGAACCGTTCGATACGGCTTCATGGATGCTAGTAGGCATTGTTGCAATACATGCCGCGACGATAATGATACTGCTCTTCGAGTGGGCATCACCCTCTGGATTCGACATGAAGGTAAACCCTTCAGGCGCTGCGCAAAAACTGGTATTTTTTTATTTCGCTTTTTATTAACTACGTGTATATGTTTTCTCTTCGTTTGCACCTTTACCTTTTAACGCACAAATATTGTGATGTCATAACTAGAATAATTAATTAATTCTACATTGAAAAAAAATATAGTCAATTTTAATAAATATTTAGTTGAATATACATGCCAACTAAATATTTATTAAATATAAAGATATATTTATTTGATACAAGAAATGTTAATTTGATTTAACAATCATTTTGTTTACTAAATGAATATTTATTTACCGTAAGTAAATATTTAGTTGGCAGTATTGAACTAAATATTTATTAAAATTGACTATATTTTTTTCTCAGTGTAACGCATGCTTCAGTGTTTGTAGTTGAAAATAGAAAGAATACATTCCTAGACTAATATTATATAATGGCTTCTAATTTGCAGTTATTGTTCGTACAATTTTGTATAATTAATAAAATTTTTTTACAGGAATTTACTACTTTGTGTATATTTTTTTATGTGTATTTTTTATCACTACCTGATGTTCTTATGTAATTATGTAATTCATTACTTTTTTCAGCATTACGTATGATTATTTGTTTTGCATGTATCTTGCACAGTTTTATAAAAGTCACTGCGTATCGATGTTCTCATAATCATAATCATTAAATTAAATTTTTAATTGGAAAAGATGTAATAACGATGTACTATATTTCTTATAACATGCACATGAACAATTTCAAGTTTTTGCTCATGTTACTGCTATTATTGCACAATGTTTTTTTATGTCAGTGATACAGATCTTTCCCTTTCTGCAGAATAATCCATCGACGAACCATCGATTTTCTTTTTGTCGTACGTACTGGCTGGTCTGGGCCGTGTTATTTCAGGCTGCCGTCCATATCGACTCTCCCAGAGGATTTACAGCTAGGTCAGTGAAAAGGATCTTTTTCCCCAAGAATGTCGTTTTCCCGACGAATTTTAATTACCGACCCGAGATAGAACTCGAGCGACAAATTAGTCTTCCGGTACTTCACTTAACCATTCGAGATCAGTCGCTGTGCATAAATGTTTCTGGGCAAACATTTACTTGCCGACTACCGTTTTAAAATATAAATTACTCTAACTTTTATTATAAATTGTCAAGCATATATTGACTCAAATCTAAAAAGATTTATTTGATATAAATTATACATTTTGTTGATACAGCACCAGCTTTATAAATCATATTAATTTAAGTTAATTCATTGAATTTTTTAAAATAATAAAATAATAGAATTGAGCAATAAAAAATCCAAAAAAAAAACAGAGCGAATGAGAGTCAGCGTGATAATTAATACGCAATCTTAAATCTTTAATCCAGGAAATAGAATCTTTATTCCAAAAAATAATAATACGTTTCAGTTCACTTTTGAACCATCCTCAGCAATACAATTTCAAAATATCAATTCCTTCATGTCCAAGGAAAAATCATCAAGAAAAAATAGAATTGAGACAACTTTGACCAAATATATAATTAATATATATAAATGGGAAAGGAAAGCTAAAAGCTTGATAAAAGTAAACGTATGTTTTTTTAGAAGAGAATACCCAAAAAAATTGTCGATGTCAATTTCTTTGAGTATTTTACTGTTGAAACTGATAATACATATATTGTATAATATAATAATGTAATTAATGAATCCTATATAATAATAAAAAATATTAATATTAAAATATCAATTAATAAATGTTTATCTTAACAAATAAATGTTTTATTAACTGTAGAATATAATTTTATTAATTTTTATAAAAATTGCAAAATATTTGAATTAAACAAATTATTAAAAATCGACCAATAAACGACCAAATTAAGATGTTAAATGTACAATTAATGTATATTTAAATTCAGTGACAAGGGTCTAAGATCTCGACAAGTGTGATAGCCAATTATCACTGTCAGACAGTTATACGTCAAATAGTTCACATCATGACTATTATTTTACATCATTGACTTCATTTTGATGGACTTTATGTCATTCTCGCCGTTAAACGAAGATTTAGTTATTTTGACATCTTGACATTACGTTTTGCGGACATGGTGTGCCAATATCTTGGTGTGTTGCGGTACGACATTGAGTTCCATCGACTTTTATGTCTACGATTAGAATAGTAGGATAATTTTTTTTTTATTTGTAAATGAAAATTCTGTGAATTGAAACGTTTTAACAATTTTTTGTATACAATTTTATTATTGCTGATTCAAATATACATTAATTGTTCATTTAACTTAATTTGCTCGTTTATTGATTTTTTTTGATAATTTCTTTTACTGTGTCAAACAATCAAGCAGTTGTACATATAATTGTTATCTGGATTAAAAATTTACAATATGCTTGAGTTAAAAAACATAATTTATAAAAAATGTCAACGTACTATCTATTCAGATTTATGACGAATGTCTGGGCATTATTTGCCGTGGTCTTCCTCGCCATTTACACTGCCAATTTGGCTGCCTTCATGATCACGCGGGAAGAATTTCATGAATTCAGCGGTGTGGATGATCACAGGCTCGCTAAGCCCTTTTCTCACAAACCCATGTTCAAATTCGGCACGATACCATGGAGTCACACAGATAGTACGCTTGCAAAGTATTTCAAGGAGATGCACTCCTACATGAGGGCTTTCAATAAAAGCAGCGTTGCAGATGGTATCGAAGCTGTCGTTACTGGGTAAATATATTTTTGTAATATTACTCTAAATTTATTTATCAGGAAAATCAAAGCAAAAAGTAAAACAATTGTTTTAAAATAACTATAGAGGTGTAGTAAATTTATATTGTGGTAAAAAAATTTCTATTTTACGTGAACAATTTGTGTGTAGATATCTATTTAAAAAAAATAAATTTTTAGATTTGTATGGTTTTATTTGGCAGGTTTTATATAAAAATTGCAAAATATTTTATAACTGAAATAAAACTTTCAACAAATTTTAACAAATATAATTGATATAAAAAATATATTAGTTTTAAACTGATTAAAGGAATAGAAATTTAATTATCTCTGTGTCTAAAGTGGGACACTATTTAATTCTGCAGTATTATATACAAATTAGAAAAAGGTTCCTCTCAACGTTTTGACGTAAAGCCGATTTAAAATGTCCTTATGAGGATATAATGAGGTACAGAGCATCCTGTTATAACTTGTGCAGAGACATGGATGCGTTCATTTATGATGGCACAGTTTTGGACTATTTGGTCGCTCAGGATGAGGATTGTCGATTGCTAACGGTCGGATCATGGTATGCCATGACGGGATATGGTCTGGCGTTTTCCAGGAACTCAAAGTTCTTACAAATGTTCAACAAGCAGCTGTTGGACTATAGAGATAACGGTACTTTTGCATGTGCTCCAAATCTTTTTAAGCATCCCGAAGAATACTTTCGCATCTAAAAGATCCTTCTGTGTGTGTAAAATATATGGATCCGTAAATTTCACTTGACGGATTACTCTGCGATTATTCTTCGTATTTATGTCATTCCGTCAATTCTAGGAGATCTGGAGCGGTTGAGAAGATACTGGATGACTGGGACGTGCAAACCTGGGAAGGAAGTACAAAAGAGTAGCGATCCGCTAGCATTGGAGCAATTCTTGAGCGCATTTCTGTTATTGATGATGGGTATTCTTTTGGCGGCAGTCTTTTTACTTTTGGAACACCTGTATTTCAAATACATCAGACAACACTTGGCAAAAAGCGACGACGGTGGCACATGCGCTATTTTCAGCCTGGTAAGCATTTCGGATTTTAATATCGCGAAAATCTCTTAATTTCCTGTGCTATTTCTGGAAGCAGGTCATTCTTAACTTTAAAACCACTTACAGAAGGCGACAGATGTTTAAATATTAATAACATTTCTTAAATCGTACTACCAATAATCTAAACCAACTTTTTATGAATTCCCAATAGATATTATATACTTTTGAATAAAATAATTTAATTGATAACAATCTATTAGTATTAAAAACAAAATATAATACAAAATGTTTAAATGTATTTGCAATAATAATAAATTGATAATAGAATTAAATTGCACGTATAACAATACTTTAAGGACGTACTAGACATACAGTCCCTGCAAGAAAATTAAATTTGAATATATGTTTAATATTTACACTTTAAATAAATTGTGTGACTAAGATTATATTTTTGTTTAATAACACATTTTTGTAGTTTATTTATTTTATTTGTTATTATTTTTATTGTTAAAAACTAAAATTTAAAAAATGATGAAAAAATTTACATTTTTCTTTTATAAGTACTTTATTCAAAATAATTTATGCAATTGCAATTCACTGATTAGTGTTACAAAAATATAGAACAAATAAATATTTTGTTTATTTACTCGACAACTAGTTCATGCATCGCAATACTTAAATTGCAAACTCTACTTAAATAATCTTGAATACATAATGTACCTATATTTAAAAATTGAGATTTTTATTATTTATTTTATTATGTATTTCCATATATTTGTATTAGAGCACAGATTTAAAAAATACTATTTATTAAAATAACTTGTGATCCAGATAGTAAACTATCATCAAATTTGTTGTATTATTTTTAAACGTGATTTAGAATATTCTGTATTTTTTTCATAATTTTATTATTATTTTGAAAATATATATAAAACACCCTTAACACACGTCCAAAAAATATGTTTAATTTTCTTTGTAAATATATCGGCAAATTCTTGTATATACATTTTTGTCTCATTCGATAATATCTATTTTCATAGACTTTGATTAGCGTTGAAAACTTAAAGAAGGATAACGGTATGCAAAATGTTTTATTTAAAGAGCGTGGGGAAGTCCTTGACTTTTCGTGGTGCAGTGTACGAAGCGCAAGATATCTTAAGGCATCATAGATGCAAGGATCCGATCTGCGACACCCACTTATGGAAGGTCAAGCATGAACTTGATATGGCTAAGATCAGGATACGACAGCTTGAGAAGGATCTTGAGGCCCACGGAATAAAGCCAACTCAGACCAAGTACGCTCCGTCCTTCTCCTAATACCGTTTAATTCCGTATCAAACTACGAAAGTACTCGACTACACCGGGTATTTGCAATGCGATCGAGGGAAGAGCCGGATTGATCAAGTTGAATCGCACGGCTTGCGAAGACGGCTTGCCCTTCTGATCAGCCATGCTATTCGATTATCTTCAAACTCGATCGCTTAATATCGGATGAGGAATCGTACCCTCATAAGCAATTCGAGCATAACTTTTCCGTTTGATTGATTTTATTTCTTTCTACTAAAACAGGGAGAGCTTGCAAATTTTTTAGAATAAATCGCCTTGATATTCTCATCAGAAATCTATATGACAAATGAGGTATTTTTTTTATATAATTAATCTTTTAATGCCGGGTTTTTCTGAATCGAAATGTCACACTTGTGTACGACGAAGAAATAAAAATTTAATGTTACGAGTTATTGATATCGAAAATTTTTTAATTTTAGTAAACGGGATTTTTGAAAATATGGTAATTTTTTTAGCGCGTATTGCACAGAACGAAAATAAAAGTGAATCAATATTGCATAATATAAATCTAGCTGCAATAACATTTTATTCAATTTCAACACAATCCTCAACAAAAATTAAATTAGTTTATTTTAAACGCGCTTGTTTTTTCAGTGTATGTTTGAAAATATTGTAAATTTAACTATTACACCTCAAATAAAAATACAACGCTCGTAAAAAAAATTTAAAGGGATAAAAAAATAAAAAAATACTTGTTACTAAAAAACTATTTTGATAACAATTATATCAAAATATTTGACTTATAGCAATAATCAATACGTCATGAAATCGAATTTAACATTGACATTGAAAGATTAATTGACATTATTTATAATCAAGTAAAAAATGTTTTCGTGGCAGAAAACGAAACGTTCAATCCATCGATCAACATTACGCATTCTATCATTTTTTTTTCTCTAGATTACGGTTACGCTTTCACAAAAGATACTTTTCGCAGAGTGCTGTCGCTTGTTTTCCATTTCCAAAACTAGAAATCTTTGTTCTAGAAAGCTTTCTTTTGAGTCTCTTCACTCTCTTCAATCTCTTCTTTTCACACTCTCTTTGCTCTCCCGGAAATTACTTCGTAAAGCGGAAGTGGACCCGTGATAAAAGTCTACGCATGCAGTTGCACATTTATTCTTATACCTGTCTTTGTTCTAATATCTTGAACAAACTTATGCTCGGTTCTCTATGCAAATTTTCATGTTACAGTTTAATTTATTACGGAAATTATTGTTGTACGAGTAGCACAGCTCGAATAATTTCCAGACCGAGCTTAAGTAGTAACCTACTTTCTAACGTCACTTGGAATCTTGTTCGCACAGCATGCATCTATCTATAATAAAGCGAAACGTGCGTTTTCGATGGGACGTTCAATGTGTCGACGTCTTTTAATATCTCAGAAGTTCCATCGCACGTTTTCTTTTTTTTTTTATCTCCTCTCTTTACTGCTGAAAAGCACATTCTCCGAAATATTACTACTTCATATTAAAAATCGTATATTAAATGCAATATTAAACAGCATTTATTATTAATCTTAATATTTTAAAAATATTAATATTCTATTTTTTTTGGTATTTTAAAATAATCTTAATTTGAATATATGCCTTTAAAAATCAATTTTTGAAAAACGATATTATTGGTGAAATTTTTTGATAAATTGCATTTATATATTATATATGGGGGTTCTATATTTATTTCAAACACTACAAGATTAAATTTGTATTTTCTGTAACTTGGGAAAAATGTAATATGGAAAGGAAAGTTCCATTGAAAACGCTCGATTTTGGCGCCTCTATTTAGTTTCGGTAACATATACATATATATATATATATATAATATATATTATATATATCATGTACATATTTTTATGCTTACTTACGTAATTTAATATCGAATATGAGCACTCGCACTTGATTTCTTCTCTATTATCCGTTTGCGGCCTCATATGCTCACTGTGTAGATAATTTTATTCTTGTTTCGTGAGAAGCGATTCCATCCATATCCTCGTGTTTAAAAAATAAAAAAAAAGAAACCTCCATGAGAGAGGAGTGTTACATGGGGTGTCCCGGGGTGTCGTTTCGAGTGAACGGGAAATGGTTTATTTGGATCATGTTAAGCGATAATTGGTGGTTCGATGATGTGAAGGAAGCCTGGCACATATCCACGTCGGCTTTTTTAAAGGAGGAAATCCGGAAGTCTCGGCTGG